AGTTAATTTTGATAATTTGTACCTATTTTAGAATATTATTAATTTCTTTGGGATTCTTAGTTTTTTACTATAGCATTGTGTATAGTATTGGATTTTATTTTTTTCAATATTTCCTATGTTTGTGATTATATATCCTTTCCCATTTGTGATCATATATACTTTGTTCTCCCATTTTTCCCCCCTTAATTAAGACTGTAAGTGAATTATGTATTGGTAAGGGGAAGACACTGTGGGTGAGCTTATCTGTTATGTGAATTTTATATCTTCTATTTCACTAATTATGGTTTTAATCTCTGTTAATTATCTCTTTTTGTTTTGTAAATAATCTTGATTTCTCTGGATAAACATTGACTTTTCCCCTCTTGCCTAAATGGTAAACATATTTTAAGCCACACGTTTTTCTACAGCCTTTGCTCTGCTCCACTGGGTATGAAGAATTTATATTTTTTTTCTAAATAATCTGCCCTTTTGTCTTTTTCTATGACACAGGGTTATCTAAGAGTGTGTTTCTCAAGTTTTTCTTTTACCTCTTTTGTTTAGAAATTCTTTTCTTCATTTTTCTTTTTTTCCTTTTTTTTTTGTTTGGTTTATGATCAAAGAATATGACATAGATGATCTTTCCTGTTTAAAGCTCAGTAAGGATGATATTGTGTAAAAGTATTGGTCTAGGTGGATAACAGATTTTTATAAACATTTTATAAAAACTAAGCAATTTTTTCTATTCAAGTGATAAAAATTCTATTAAAAGAACTTCTTTGATTATACTATTTATTTCCATTATGTGTTTTATTTTTGTTCATTATAACCATCCAATTTGAGAAGAGTTATATTAAAATGTGTCTATACGAGTAGAGGAAGGACATAGGGGGAGGGAAAGAGGAAGTACTGGGGATTGAAATGGAGAACGGTATTTTATATGCACTTAATATGGCAAAATGAACACCACTATTATGCATAGCTATTAATACACTAAAAAGTACCTATGCTTCTATTTCAATTAATTATTTTGAGTTCGTGTTGTATTTTTAGTAGCACCTGCTTCATTTACTTAACTACTGCATTATTTGGTGCAAACAGCTTTATGAATATTTTCCAAACTCCATAAAATATACCTCATATCATTACAGAATATTTTCTGTTCATACTGTGATATCATTTATTATACTTTTAAATTCTACTTGTATGCTGTTACTATTGCCATTTATACTTTAAAAATTTCTTTATTTTTTTCTTACCTGATATCTCTTTGCACGTTTGTTTTTATGAATAATACATAACTAGGTTTTGTTTTTTTCACCTAAAATTCCTGCCTGAGTTTAGAGGATTCAGTCCCTTTGCACTAATTTAATAATTAATATACTCAATTTTTTAATGTCATTTTTTTCTTTTTCTAATTCTACCCTTTTTCTCTTTTGGTTGATTTGCTCCAAAGATGATTAATGTCTCTCTCCCTTTTTTTCAATTCTGGAGTTTAATTATACTCTTTACTTCCATAATAGTTAATGAAATATTAATATCATCACTACATAGTCAATAAATAGTCCTATTAATCCATGAGGCGAGTTATTAATTATTTCTCTAATGAGAGACCTCCTCCTCCCCCTCCCCTCCCCCTCCCCCCTCCCCCCAGCTCCCCGACCTCCAAGATCCCTTTAATTCTGTTTCCCCCCTCTCCACCCCTCCACTTGCCAGAGGAGACCTTGGGTACATTTCCACCATCTCCAGCCCTTCCCAGATCAGCACTTTTGGTGAGTGTGGCTGAGTACTTCCTGTGTGTCCAGCGTCCACGTTTGGCCCTCATGATGGACACTCCTGGTCTCTCTGCACTTGTCTCCATGTGGCTGTGGGTGCTGCAGCCCCTGTTTCCTCTCTTCCTCATCTCTCCTCGACTGGAGGCCCCTCTCAGGGTCTGTTGGGCTGCTTTAGCCCTGAGCCAGCTTCGGGGTTCCCTGGAGTGTGTGGATCACATCTCCATGGCCATGGGTGCCATCTCTGCAGCCCTGGGGTATCATTTCACAGCCTTCTGCCATTTGAATGTGCAGCCCAGGGACAGCCAGTTCATCTTCTTTTGTAATTACCTTTCTGTGTCTTAAAAGCAGTCTGTAAAAATATTTTCTCGATTTCAGAACCCAGGTGCCTAAGTGGAACTGCACTTTCAATCTACATATTTTGAGTGTCTCTGCAAAACCCAGAGAAAGTTTCCTTTTAAAAAAAAAAATAGTTTCTTTTATGATTCTTTTTTTTTCCTCTCATCTTCCTTTTTTACGACTCCAGATATTTTCAGGTGAGGTGTTCCAGGTCTGTCTTCTTATGATCTCACTATTTTCCTTCTATAGTTCCCACCTTTCCTGATGGATCTTGAGCGTTGCTAGTTCTGCTCTCAGTAATGACCACCCTTTCCTCGTGTCTATTTGACGTTCTAATTGGACGGCCTGATGTTGGACTTCCCAGGAGCCTGCACCTGCAGCTCTTCAGGGCTCCCTCTTTGGTGATCACTGTCCTCCTTCCTTCTCTCTGGCGGCTAGGCCTCTGTCAGCGTCCTTCTATTCTCATTTGTTCATCGTGGCCTCGTTCCAGTTGCCGAGTGCTTTCGGCGGCTAGTCCCACCCTCCACACAGAAGCCACAGACGTCTCAGCAGCTGTGGGCCAGTAATCGCAAGTTGCCGCTTTCCTGTGGAGGCACCAGGAGGGATCCCTTCACCTGCACTAGAGTGGAGAAGGCTCTGCGTCTTCACGCCTGCTGAGGGCGCAGGGTCAGGCACACTGAGGGTCCTGTGGTCGTTGAGGGACCCTGTAACAGGTGTATGCCACATGCGGTGGCCACAAAGCTCTTGTCCAACCCAAAGCAAGAAAGTAGGACAGCTGTGTCCCTCACACCCTCACCGGGGTCCTGGGTCCCAATCCTGAGGTCTGCCTGACTTGAGAAGGAAGGCCTGTTTGACCTGAGCGGGAGTGCAGAGGAAAAGGAGTCCAGTCAAGCCACTGTCATCCCAGAATCCCCTGGGGACATACATATGCTCCTCACACTGTCCCCATGGCGTCTATGGCTGATCGAAAAGGCAGACATTCGTCAGAACAGAGGAGGGGGGAGGGAGGGAGGATGAGGATGAGCACGGAGGGAGGAGAGAAAGGCAAAGGGACAGAGAGAAAAGGAAAAGCACCAACTTGGTAGGAGGTAGGACGAAAAGGTAAACAGAAATGGAACGAGGTGGGAGTCAGGGAAGGGTTCCCAGGAAGCCGTGACCCTGGAGGGGGTAAGGGCAGAGAGACACGGAAGCACTGCCAGGCAGAGCAGGATAGGCCAGGCCCAGGGCTCCTGTGAGGACCCAAAGGAAGGCTGGAGGCTGGAGCAGAGGGCCAGGTGTGCAAAGCAGCCAGAGCACGAGGTCCTGGCCACTGCCTGCAGGGGATGAGGGCCATCATGGCGGCTCTGGTCTAGAAGTGGCTGCCATTGGGGTCTTACCCCAGGGATGAGATGTCGTTGACATTCCCAGGTCATGAGGATCCCATGCAGAGAACAAATGGAAAGGGAGGTGGGATGTTGGGGGACCACTGGGGGCTATTGTAATGGTCCAAGAGAGAGTCAATGACAAGGTCGTGACACTCTTAAGTGGCAAATGGAAGAGGGTTGGGGACCAATGGAAAGTGTCAGAAATTCTCCCGAAGTACCCAGATGACACCACTGCCACAAGCCCTGGGAACAGTGGAAGAAGACCATCTGGAAATCACCAGTTCACGGTTCGTGTCCAGGGTCACTGACAGGGAAGCAGAGAAGTCAGTGGGCAGCCTGCCTCAGGCGGTCTAGATGGACACAGCACATGGGCGTGTGCGGCTGGGTGGAAGCTGAGGTACCAATGAGAGCACCTGGGGACGAGAAAGGAGAGAAGACTGTGATCTTGTAGCTGCTAGCATCTGCCTAGGTCGGACTGTGTTTTCCCAAAGGTAATTGGACTGTGTATCATCATCTTAAAAATGATCACAAGGCTTGATCCTGCAATTCTCTAGTAGTATTTCCTCAGAAAATAATAACAGTTAATGTGGCAAATAATATGCGTGAATAATATTCATTTAAATATTATTTATGATAGGAATAACAAAAAGGAAATTATTTCATTATCTGATATCAGGAGGAGGGTAAGCAAATGTTCATCCATTTATATTAATGGCCATTCTGGCATTACAGTGTTTGTAAAGATCTAACGGTATGGTAAATGGTCATATGATAACATTAATGAGAAAGCTAGAGAGAAAAGGAGGGGCCGGAAAAAGGAGTTTCCACTGTATGAACGTGTGGAACTAAAGAATGTATGAACATAAGGTTGTGTGTCACCCACTGATTGTGCGTCACCTACCTGGATGATAGCTGCCACTTTTATATTTTCATTTGTTTTCCAATTTTACAACATGGGCTTCTTACACTGTATGCACTTTCTTATTAGGAAAACCATAGTATTGTCCCAGTTTTAGATGACACATCATAGGCATCGCACCCTGTTAAACTCTGGTTACCTTTCCTTTTCACAATTTGACGAGTGTTTCTGTCCCGAATCTAAACAGTCTTTGAGGTTGTAAGATCATTCCCCTGCATTTAAAAGCTTTATGAGCTGCTTAGTCAATCAGACTTGTAAAATGGCCTTACAAAACTGATCTTATTACTGGACAGTTGCAAATGCCTTCCCCAGAGCCCTCCAGTCGGCTGGCACCCAGGGCATCATCACAGGGAGTGTATGCGCCCTTTGCCCTTGAATTGCTCAGTAGCACAGATAAAATGAACTCTTTACTGTGAGGGTTTTTTATTAGAAATAATTATGTGATAAACGGGTATCAGAATTTGCTAATTATTTTTAAATACAGTAGGTTGTTTGGTTTTTCTCTAGTGATTATCTGGGAACTTCTGCTTGGACTGTCATCTATATCATCATTGTCCGCGGTGACATAGAATCCTTTTTTATTTGGCTTAAAACTAAGAGTACGGTTTGGTTTTGTTTTTTTAACTCCAGGAATGTGTACAAAGACTACCGTTTCCTTGAGCTGGCCTGCGACTCTCAAGAGGATGTGGACAGCTGGAAGGCTTCTCTCCTAAGAGCTGGGGTCTACCCTGACAAGTCCTTAGTAAGTTGGCTATACCTCTTTTTTAACAATCATCATTACCTGCGTTGAAGAAAATATGCTAGTTCTTTGTACCACATGCTAGAGCAACTAGTTTTCTTACTGATTTAGTTAATCTGGCAAAGAGGCTGATACTTCATTCTCTTTATATTGCTTTTTATGAGCTTTTCTCCATCAGATTTCTGTATTAAGAACCTAATCAGTGTATTTATTGAAGCAAATGCCCTCCCTTGCCACAAAACATAAGCTACATGTTCTCAGATCAAGATTTCCTCCACACGTTATCCCACAGTATTATATGATTTCTCTGTGTTATTCCACAATATTAATAGGAGCAACATATCTTCAGTAGTAACAGGAGTATTTCAGATTCAAAAAAAAATACTCATTTTTTTAAAATAAATATCTCTCTTTTCCTTGTGTCTGTATTGCTTGTACCCGTGGTTGTATCTGTATTGAACTCTGGCTAACGTCACTATGAGTGTGGAAGTACAAAAAACAGTATGGCTCTTTCCACTTATCTTTATTAATACACTTCAAGTGTCCTGGAGACACTTCTCTCACTGAAGTTAATAAACAGACCTTCTCCTTGTGTTCTTTAGAAACCGTAATATTACACAGACGCGTCTGAAGTCTGAGTTTGAGCTCTGGAAGTCCCGCCCATCTTGCGTGCACCGGCCCTTGAGCACGCTGCAGATGGATGGGTCTCTGCACCTGCTGCTCCTGGGTCTTGACACCACCCTGGCTTCTCCCCAGTGTGGAAGCACCAAAGTAGAGCCCCAGGATCTGGTCCAGCTTGAGCCTTGTGCTGCTTCCTTGGCTCTCAGTCCCTTCACGGGACAGATCGCGTACTGATCTAGGCTCACAGTAGGGACAGAGGCTTTTCCAGGCTCAGTCCGAGATTTGGGTACAATGTGAGAAAATTGTAGCATTTCTGGGAAACTTTAGGCCCAGCTGCATCCCTGGGTTTATACTGGAAATTAACAGAGTTCTAGGAGTAAAGGGTGGAGGATTTGTACCAAAATGTTCTTCTGCTCCTATTTTAGTTTACACGTGGACCCCTCAACCCCTTCCATCCTTTGCATGTGTCTGGGAAGCACTTAAAACAGTGACCCTCCCACACAGTGCCCTGAGCCCTCTCAGTAGGACTTGCACCTGATGCTTCCTTGGTGATACCAAGGTACAGAGGCATCTACCATTTTCATAATTGCTGTCCAGTCTTTCTCCTGTGGGGGCATACAGATCTGCATAGAAGCATGCCTCTCGAGAGACTATGAAGAAATCATTTTAAAAATTGGAGGAAATCACTTCCACCTAAGTTTCAGTTCCAATTACTTTTTACTCTTCTGTATCCATTGATGGTGGTGTGTTTACTTACACATTCTATATTAAAAATGCATGTATACTTAATTTTTTTATTCATCCATTCCACCAAAAAAAAAAAAAACCTTCTGAGCACATGCTTTTTAGCATCGTAGGCATTAGTGAGACAGGTGAGCTATAAGGTCCTGCTCCACAGAGCAGACACTGGGCAAGTGCATGTGTAACAGTAATCACGAAGCATCAAGATAATGGAAAGTCCCACCTAAATAAGTTAAAGGGACAGTGAGAGCAAGGGGCAGGTGAGCTTTTTGCAGGGGCAGGTGACCAGGGGAACCCCTTTAAAGAGCAGGCCTTGGCATGGACTTCTCAAGGAAAGGAGAGATTAAATGCTGTGACTGTCTGAAGAAGGGGATTTGGGGCAGAGGCAGAGCAAGTGTAAACCACGCACAGCACAGCATCTCAGAGCAGCCCCAAGAAGGTCTGTGTGTCTGGAACACCGTGAGGCAGGACAGACTGGCAGGTGGTCTCCAAGATGATGTTGGCCTTAAAGGAATGAGCATTTTGCATTTTACTGTGAGGGAGAGAGAAGCCAGGGAAGGGTGTCTCCAGCTAGTTGCCATGATAAGATTTACATTCTTGAAAGACCTCATGGCTGGGTCTGATTAGAAGCAGCAGCACCTCTGGGTCCAAGCACAGGCTCTAGTGTCAAATCCCAGGAGCTCGCTTCCAAGCTGTGACCTTGGGCAGGTGCCCTAGCCATTTACATTTTACAATTCTCATTGCTTAAATAAGACAATGCTGCCCCGAGAGGGTGATTGATGGGGTCCAGTGAGATAAGGCGTGGAAGGACCCAGCAGAGCAACACAGTGAGGACCCTGTTTCCATGTGTAATGATAATGATCATGACTCATTTCCAGCTCAAGCACTTTCTTTAACAGCTAGAAATAACTATAATGAAGCCCAGCGGGATTGTGAATCCTTCATGCTATCTTCTATCTTCCAAATATGCTTGAGATGTGCAGGATATCAGTGTTGGGGGCGGGTGTGTCTCTTCCTTACATGCAGCTATAGTTGTGTAAAAATGTTTCAAATCACAATTTTGTAACTAAAATCTGTTTTAAGTGCACTAGAACAATTGGCCATGTAAGAAATCTTGTAATGTAGTTTTTGTGCTTAAGAAATTTTGTAATGTGTTTTTTTATTCCCTGCAAGAAAAACTATCATGGAAAAGCAAATTTTTCTAGCCCCAGTTTTCATGAATCTGGATTTTCATACACCAAAAAGATAATCTAAGAAATATTTTATATTTTTAATCAGACTACTCACTTTTAAGCAAATCTAGTGATGTCGTCCACAATCTGTTTTGATTCTTTTCACATGTTTATAAACACACATTTGATACAATTGCCTGGAAGAAGGAGACGAGAAGTTTTTACTGCATACCAAAGACAAGACAGGAAATCAAACTTGGCAGTGTGCCATGAACATTGCATGTCTCAGTTTTCATCATACACAATATTCGTATTTTTATGCACAGTGTAGGCTTATGGGACATATTAAAGGCTTGGTTGGTTTGCAGATATTTAATGGCAGCTAACTGTTAAAATTAATCAAATAGAATGCTTTCCTATAGCTTCCATTTTGTGAGCACGCTCACTTACATTTGGGAGAAGGATAGTTTTTGTTCCTGATTTGGAAAGATTTGAAGAAATTAACCTATAACTGACACTTCTAAGTCCTGATTTATTCTGGGAACTTATTCTGTGAACATATGTGTATGTTGGTAATCAAAGGCTACTACTGAAGAATTTTTAAAAGATTATTTTACTGACACATACATAGATTGTTCCTGTAAATAAAATTACAAACAAATACAAATTTGATTAATTATTAAAGAACGTGATGTAACAGCTAGCTTTTTTGACACAGTACGGTTTACAATGTGACTTGTATATAAACATTAAGGAATTCCAAATTCAGATTCTTTGAAGCACTGTGTGCAGTGGGATGCGATAGACTTCAAGTCAGATCCATTCACATTTTAAATCTTGACCTTGCTGTCTATCAGCCATGTGGTGCAGGCATTTTATTTAATCTTCCAGTTATTTATTCTCTAAACTCAAAATAACAGTCCTTCCTCAGGGTGATTTTATAGGATTAACCAAAGGTCCCTGTGCATCACAACTAGCTCGGTGCCTTCAACTGAGTGCAAATTCAGTGCCTTTATTACTATTATTCAGAGTCATTAGCGTGTCCATAGCTCTGATTCCCAACTTAGTATGCACCTTTTCTTTGGAAACTGTCAGTGGATTTGGGCATGTGAGAATTTTCTTCTCTGATGACTGAGGAAGTCGGGTTGTTCAAAGGGAGCCCGATGCTGCCTGAGGGGACAGCACAGTCTTGGAGGCTGCATTGGTCAGGCTGAAGTGAGCCAAGGGGCTGTCAGGCTGTCACCTGCCAGCCATCTGAAAGAAGGAACCTGAGGTCCACACGTGCCCTGGAAACGAACTGGTATCAATTCATTTTGGGGTGTGTGGGCGGGGGGGGGGGGGGGTAACCAGGGATTGAACTACAGAGCCACATCCCCAGCCCTGTTTTGTATTTTATTTAGTTGCTTAGGGCCTCACTAAATTGCCAAGGCTGGGATCATAGGTGTGCGCCTCACCCAGCCTCAATTTAATTTTGCATGTTTGTTAGTGAGACACCTGAGAGCTTCGTAAGAGGTATATAGAGAGAGGGACTTTTGGTCTCAATTATGTAATAAGAGATTTAAATGGCAGTATGGCCGGAGACATAGCTTAGGGGTCGAGGACTGGCTAGTACGCGTGAAGCCCTGGGTTCAAACCCCAGCACCACAAAAAAAAAAAAAAAAAAAAAAAGCCATGACAGTAGAAAGTGTGACACTGTGGAACTTGACTTTCCCTCTGAAGCTCGGACTCTCCAGCCGTAACTGAGGCTTTTATGATGCTTTGTGTGTGGGTTGAAACCATTTACTTGAGCCTCTGGTACCTTCCTCTGCGTGCGATAATAGGGAAATGGGAGTCCATCATTCCAGAAGAGGAATGTCATTGGCTCCGGGTATTCCTGACGAGACCACTCACACAAGGCTCGTCCTGAGCCCAACATGAGCCCCTGGCAAGGAGCTAAGTCCTAACTAGGCAAGGCTAGTCCTCACACACAGCTCAGAGCAGCTCCAGGGCCAGCTCCGAGGAGTCCTCCATTCCTCAGTGGAAGCGCTTTCAGGGTGCCAGACATAAATCGCTGTCACCCAGAGGAGGGGAGGCAGTCCTGAAGCCTTCTCAAGTCCCCATTCATGACTGTCTGCGCCTCTTGTAGAATAGACGGTTGGGAAAGCACTGAATGAAACAAGGAATGGCCAAGCCACACCACGTCCCGGCTGTGTGTTTCTTGTATTTGGGGATTCAGGCCTCCTCCTCTGTGACATCACTGTTGCCACTACAAACAGAACCATCTGCCATGGAGTGGGGAAGCCAGTCATTCCCTCGTGTGCAAAAATACTTGGTTGAACTCCTGAAACTTATTTGGTAGATCAAAAGCTGCACTGCTGTGGAGTGCAATAAACTCCATCTGTTTGAGGTATTTCCAGCAATATTGCACTTCTTGGGAGAACCAGGGTCCCATTATTCTCTAAAATAGACTTTTACTCATGATAAAATTCC